TTTTAGTACCGGCCTTGTAATCACCGGAAAGGTTATATTTTAGATGACTCGAACAATTTCCCTTTCAATTTCCAACTGCGGTTTTTCCTCCAGTCTTTAACTGTTTTCATCAATTAATTCTGATGCTTAGAAGAAAAAAGGGCGTCCTAAACTGTCACTGTTGAATCCCAGATTTGTGGAGAAGTAAAGGAAATCGCCGAGTAATACGAGAAAGAGTCGACTGGATCAGTTTAACGTAAGGCTATAACACCAAAAACAAAAAAAAGGAAATAGTTCTTCAATGTTGTTTTAATTTAAACAATGAACAAATGGCGAGGAAACCAGGCGAGAGGGTTTGTTTAGAAAATCTCTTGTTATTTCTCTGTTTTGATAGCAAACAAACAAAAACAAAAACAGAGATATTGCAAGAGTTATTAAAGCAATTTTTACCTTGGTTGTTATTCCATGTAATATTGTGAGTTTTCTTGCTGTACAGAATTCCCGGTACAGGGTGAGACATCTCCCAGGGACAGTGAGGTCCCGTGATAAAAAACCACCCAGTATCACCAGGGCATCCGTTGTGATAAGCTGCGATTTCAAAATTGCGTTCCCCGCTACCATGAATGCGAAAGATGAAAATGTTTACCGCGTTCTTAAGATCCGTCCATGGTGACTGAAGTAGATTATTTTGTGAAAACCAGTCAAGGTTAGTTGTCCCTCTGGCATTGAACTTCACAGAGATAACTTCTGCTCCATTCGTGTAAAGTACTACACGAACCTAAAGTCACACAAGAAAATTGTCTGTTATCTACATATTAATAGATGTGTACATGGAGAATTGGAGGAATTGTTTACCAAACTCTTGTTGTCTCTCCCAAACATATTTTGAAGAATTCTAACAGTTTATCAATTCTTTGTATGACACAGATGACACAAGACATGACTATGTAAACTCGAGGAAGCAAACTTTTGAACTGGAAGTTATTGTGTCGGCGCCTTGGTTCTGGTATAACTCTGCCTTGGCTACTACTACTCCTGGTTCTAATCATCCCTAAAGCATTAAAAGCTTCCGGGGTGAAGTGGAAAATTCAGCCTAATACATTGGTTGCTTACTAAAAAAATTAACTAAATGTCTTTTTCCAAGTCATTTCTAGTGAAGTGTGTTAACATTGCATGAGTATTTAGTAAACGAAGTTTCATTTAGCCTAGCCTCTGTGATGTAAATATTTTACGGACTTACCTCTTGAGGGTTAAAACTTTGCCAACTTTGAATGAGACGGTTTTTGTAGTGACCTTGGTAGGTTGCAGTGGTATCTAAAGCAGCGGTAATATTTTCTGATAATGTGTCGGATGAACTCCATAACGCTTTACCAGTCGGTGAAGGAGACATTCCTCCAATGTATTTGAATATCATCGTCCAACCTTAAAATAAATTTTAAAAAACAAAAGCAAAAACAAAACAAAACAAAAAAAACAAAAAAAAAACAGAACAGAACAAAACAAAACAAAGCTCTAAGAAATAGTCCAAGGTCGTGAAAATCATTTGCTTCTTCTGCAAAACTCTAGAAACAGTTTTTCTAATTGACTGCATATATGTCGCTAAAGAAAAATAGAAAATAAATAAGACATCGACCTTCATTTTAAATTCAAGTCCGAGAGCATTTCTTGACGAGGGAGTAGGCCACCTCTAAAACAACTCG